CATCGATCCCTTGGTCGTGCGTATACCGTCCATGTAACTAATTTTGAATGTTTCTGTTTGCGATTGCTGCTGCACCATGTTCGGGGTCCTACAGGATATAAAGACCTTAAAACTGTCAACGGTCAGGTATGTGCAACTTGTAGAGAAACATGTGAAGCTCTGCATCTTTTAGAAAACGACAATCACTGGGATGAAACCATGGAGGGGCTCACCAGCCAAAATTGGGGATCTTTATGCAACTTTTATATCATCTTGCGGGCTATCTAATGCACATGAACTGTGGGACAAATATAAAGAATATATGGCGGAAGATATTTTGCGAAGATTACAGCAGACACACGCGAACATGACATACAATGAACACATTTATAATGAAGCACTTGGAAAAATTGAAGATAAAGTAATGGCAATGGTAGACAAAAAATTAAGTGACTATGGAATGATAAGCCCTCAGCGAACAACCGAAAATGAACTAAGTGATGAAATGTGTAGGTGAAACAAACGATATACCAGCTTTGCAACAGCAAGTAGGCGAATTTGTACCCTGCTTGCTTCCCGAAGAAAAACGAGTTTTTGACAAAGTATTAGGACAAATTGAATCGTTGGCTGGTGACTTTCGCCAAACTTTACCTGTCTTTCAAAAGGGCACACCTGCAGATGAAATTAAAGCATGCCTCAAGTCGTCTATTTTATGGAACAGGGTGCCAAAATTCACTTTAACTACGAATGTGAGAGTGCATTTGTATAATGATATCAATGCTGGAAACTATGCTGACACACTATTAAAAATTGACGATGGGCGGTTGGAAACGGATGCTGAGGGCTGCGTTAAATTGACGAGAGATTTTTGTAATTTAGTACAGAGTCATTCCGAATTAATTGCGAGCGTTTATTCAGATTTAACGAATAACATGCATGAAGACAAATGGTTTTATGAAAGGGTGATTCTTGCACCAAAAAATGAGAGCGTTAAGAAAATAAATTAAGATATATTTAGCGAAGTAGTAGGAGAAATAACAGTGTATTTGTGAGTAAACACAGTTATGGACACAGAACAGAGCACTTCATATCCCGCAGAGTTTCTAAATTCTCTAGAGTTGTCAGGTGTGCCCTCACATAAGCTTCAATTAAAATTAGGCGTCCCAGTCATGCTAATTCAAAATTTAGATGCTCCTCGGTTATGTAACGGGACAAGGCTGCGTGTGACATATCTTGGACGGAACATAATCCGTGCTACAATTTTGATAGCCGTAGGAAAAGGTGAAAATGTTATTATAACACGTATCTCTATAATTCCCACAGATCTTCCTTTTCAATTAAAAAGATTGCAGTTCCCTATTAAGCTCAGTTTTGCAATGACAGTTAAAAAAGCGCAAGGGCAAACATTACAGGTAGCGGGGGTCAACTTAGAAAAACCGTGCTTCTCTCATGGTCATCTGCATGTAGCATGTTCGCGTGTATCAAATGCCCAGAATCTCCACATTCTTTTCCTGAATGGAAAAACATATAACATTGTGTACAGTAGCGTCTTAAAATAGTTTTCAGTTAGTTTTTTTTTCCAAAATTCCCACAATCAATTAATCAGAATTCCCACAGATCTTCCCTTTCAATTCAAAATTTCCTATTTAGGTCAGTTTCTTTTTCAATTCCAAATGCTGCACCTCTGACGGACCTATTAGGCTCAGTTTCCTTTCAACTCAAAAGGCTGCATCTCTGACGGATCTTTTATTTGGCTGTTTCCTTTCAATTCAGAAAACTGCATCTCTGACGAATCAATTTAGCTCAGTTTCTTTTCAAAATTCTGCATCCCTGACGGATAATTATGCTCAGTTTCCTTTAATTAAAAAAAATATCCCATTTCCATTTGAAATAAACAGAATATTTTCATGCTTTCCTATACGCTGCATTTCAAAACATTTAAATAGGCTGACGAATCAATTTTGCTCAGTTTCCTTTTAATGGCTGCATCTCTGACAAATCTATTGTTTTCTAATTCAAAAAGCAATGGATAGTTTATTTCCGGTGACCATGCGGGCGAAGCCGCGGGTAACAGCTAGTTATAATATATAACTGTCGAAATATGATTAATTAAAATTCATTATTGTTCCCACAACTCGCAAAAAATAAATAGCTTTAACTAATCACAAATCGTTTCTTTATCTTAAATTAAGAATCAAACTGGAGATGTGTTGCCACCCTGAGGACTAAGATGAGTCAGTGTATAATATAATAAATCAGTCTTTTTCAGGCCGGTGTCCGCGGACCCCCCCCCCTCCCGTGTATATGTATGGGGGTCCGAAGACATTTATTTAGATTATTTAACTATAATAAACAAATGACACTATGCCACTAAAAGTAAACTAACATAACAAGTAGAAGTTTGTAGAAAAATCAACCCCAAGATATCACTGATTTAGTAGCAAAAAAACAACACCAAACCTTAAATTGTTAATCGTACTCAACTAACGCATTTATAAGAACACAATCAAAATACTTTTTTTTTCAATAATCCTTGTTAATTGCGCTTGGTTTCCTAGAGGTCTGTGGCTGTGAATAAAACTATTTTTACGGATTTTAGGGCATTTAATTTAAAATTCTTAATTCCCGACGTTTCGTAAATATAAGATATCATTTTATAAAACATGAACGGATACATACTTATAGACCTAAAAATACATAAAAGTATTATATTAAATAAACAAAAATAAAATGGAGTATTCTTCAAGATAATATTGCCTAACCAGTTTCTTTAACGTATGCTTATTCGGCGCTATTCTAATAACAACGGGTACGGCGTTCAAGAAAAGTATTGCCCGAACTGTAAATGTAGAATTAAAGAACCCATTGCTGTTCCGAGGTGTGAATCTTAAGAAAGTTGAAGTTGTCTTTAAGATAAGAAGGAAAAATTGGATCATTTAATAGAAAAAAAGGGCGTAGTAAGGAGAAGCTACCCCAGATTACGAAATCTTGAAATTCGAATACCCTTAATCAGTATAAACAATCAACCTCGAGAAGCATATTCGAAACATTGACTTAGTCCCCATGGTCGATCTAGGTATTCTGCATCTGATATTCTAAGCATGCCACATACGGCAAATCGTCATTACTATACAGAAGAGAAGCATGTACAGAAGTGGTGCAATAGTAATGAGTGTCTGAGAGGCTGTAAGCTTGTTCAGTATCCTGAATTGTGTTCTAACATTATTTTTTAATTGAACCAGATCAGCCAAGATACCGTACCAGACCATGGGTAACATTACAGCAAAGACTACCTTAGACCTTACAGCAAAAATGCGGAGCTGGGGAACAAAAGTGGACTTGTCCCTTTGTCCTTGTACTTGTACTCGATTTTTGTTTTTTTTTTGTTTTTTTTTGATTTTTTTGCACTCTTTAAGCTCATATCTAAAGACTCCCGGAGTATTTTGTATCAAAAATGATCCGATCTAATAGAAAAAAATAGTTTAAAATCATGATTCCTTTCAAAAGCAGACTTGTCCTGTTAGAAATTAAAAAAAATCTAAGGTATTTTTTTCTCCAATCAAAACCGGACAAAAACGTAAGGAGAATTGCCGTTAGTACAAAAAAATGTCAAATAAAACCGAACAAGTCTAAAAAAACATGCTTTTTTGTTATGATATCCCTAAATCAATTGTGGCAACATTCTACAACAACAACATTCTAACCTATCATAAATTTAAAATTTCTATTATTTTGTTTTAGGTACGCAGATAAAGGCCCCCTTGCTTTGAATTTCGAGTCTGTGTATAAACATAAAAAGGGAAAATTTAAGTGCCAGACTTTAACAACGAAATTGTATATAACCGCAAACTACTTTATGAAAAAATTGGGAAAAATTTACAGGATACTTACTTGTCACGTCTCATATTACCATGCCCCATAGAAAGAGAAAGATCGAGAGATGAATCTCGCAAGCCGCAGAGGAATAAGTACTTTGTGACATACTTTCTCTTCCGTGATTCAAAGAGGTTAGTTAAAGTATGCAAATCTTTTTTTTGGCTGCTCTTGGGCTCAGTAAGCACAGGGTGAACTTAATTGCGAGCAAATTATTTGAAGGCAAAACGCCACTTGACGCCAGAGGAGGAGACAGAAAAAGTTTCAAAAGTATTGATAAAAAAGGAATCTGTAAGAAAATTCCTAGGTGGTTTGCCAGCAAAGGAGTCACATTACAATCGAAATAAATCGAAAAGAGTTTATCTGTCATACGGGCTAAACGTAAAAAAGTAAAAAATCGATGTATCGAAATGTTTTTGAGAACGATTTAAACATTGGGTTTTCATCATCGTCTTCCGACGTATGTAGTACCTGCGAACTGCTGAAAAATAAGCAGAAGACTTAAAAGAATCCTGAAAAACTTCAATCATTGAAACTTCAACTCCGAGTTCATAAAGCTAGGGCCAAAGCGTTCTTTTCCCTTACCAAAGAAACACCTGAAAATTCAATCCCTTCCTAAAACGCCAATCCAGAAATGTTTCTATTTACGACAAGTTGGACTTTATTCTTTCTGTATCAGTGATATGCCTACAAAGGAGCCACATTTCTTCATATGAACAGAAAACCAAGCTAAAAAAGGCGCCACCGAAAATGCATCTGCTATTTTAACATACCTGATGTTTATTGATTTTTCTGAAGTGGAAGTTTTACGTCCTTTTTCGAACGGGTGTGGAGGGCAAAACAAAAATTCACGTGTCGTCCATACTTTGATTTTCTGGTTGAAAAACTACGCCCCTCAAAATGTCACCAAAATCGTACTAACCTTACCTGTGCGCGGTCACAGCCTCTTGCCGGCGGATCGAGTGTTCGGGAGGATCGAAAAGGATTTGCGGAAGAAGCCTTTCATTTTGGATCCAAAAACATATTATGAAGTTTACGCAAAGCATGGCAAAGTTCAAATTTGAGCTGAAAACTGGAACCTTTACAACGTCAAAAAACTTGAAGACTATTACAAAAAAGTAGAAAGTATTCGAGATGCAAAAAGAATAATGATAGAAAGAAAGTCAACCATAATCCAAACAGAAACTCCTAGTCAATCTCAACAATCAACACGAAGAAATCAGGGCCGTAGTAGGGGCAGAGCACGTGGCCGAGGCAGTGCAAATATACGAAGAGATCCTAGCGCACTTTTAAATCACGTAAACTTTGGCGTGAAAGTCTTAAACACCTACTATGGAGATGATTCATCAGAAAATGCTGTATCATTGTCAAAAATGACAAAAACACATCCGAGTTTACTACAAAGATTTTCAATAGCTAATGTACCAAAACCAAAGAAGAAAAAAGATGTTGAAATACTCTTGAAGAAACAATTTGGAGATAATTGAACGGATAATCAAGAGCTTGATTGGTTTAAAAACAATATATTTCATACCTCACTAGTGGAAATTGCTGAAACAAGTCAAATAAATGACGAAGACGATGACCACAGTGAAGATTGTGACTGTTGCGAACCAGATGTGGGAGAATTTGTATAATTTTTAAATAAAAAAATACAATAATAAAAACTAGTTTTTTATCATAACCGGACATATCCATAACTCTTTCAATCATAACCGGAGTTGTCCACCTTTAATAATCAAAACAGGACTTGTTCATTACAAACAAAAAAAAAAAATAGTTGAAAACACATATTTTGTGACCAACAAGCAGGCTATTGGTTATGTTGTATTATATACTATATTATACTGAAATGCATAAATTTCAGCCGATATGCATATACCTAATTCAGGTTTTTTGCTCTAGTGTAAAATATAATTAGTTGGACAAGTCCGCTTTTGTTCCCCAGCTCCTCAAATTACTTTCTAGTATGTGAGAGAAACGATATATGACAGTGTCAAGTCGAAGTCCGTAGTCTCTGCCTACCCCACTTGGCGATGGTCGTGACAGTTTCCGATTTGTGATTTACTATACATTGAATTATATAAAACTGCGGTTGCCAATCCGCCTGCAAAGTGTCGTGACAAATATTTCCACCACGAGGCAATCTTTGTTCAGCAGTAGAATTATGATAATAAGTTGTAGTGAATACATAGATTAACGAATGAATGACTTAGGCATGACCTTTTACCATAGGCGCTGCAAACCGTTCAAAACATCGGAAATACAAAAATATTAAAATAATTGGATCAAACGCGACAAAATCTATAAAATTAATTTAATTCAACCGCATATATTTATAATTGACGTTTAGCTAATAAAATTATTTCCATTTTATTGAAAAGTGGTAAAATATTTAAAGCATTAAATTATTCACATTTAAAATGCATAAATTGAATAAAATTTTAGTTTTAAAATGCAATTTCAACTGCCTTGATCAAGTTTGCAAGAAATGCTCTAAAACTTTGGTAAAAGTTGCCTATGTTTTTATTTTATTTTGTTTTAAACCTGAGCTTAAATTAAGTTATTTGAACTTTAGAAATTTCAGTAAATGTAATGTAAATGTTTCAATTTAAAATAAAAACTATTCTAAATAATCAACATTCTAAGTATTCCGAGTACGCCATTTTTAACGTGATAATTTCTATAAAAATTGTCATGGTGAAGCTATATTATAATTGATGCACTTTCGGTTTGGCTAGACAGGAGAAGAAAAATACTCTCACAAATTTCCAGCGTAAAATTGCAGCATAATACAGATGTGTTTTGTATGGTGACTATATAGAACCGGAGAACTATTTTAATTTTAATGTTTTTTTTTTAGTGGAGGCTAGATGTAGGTGTCTATGAGTCACAGTATTCGTGCTCGCTTATTCTATTAGCTCAGAAGTTAAGATTACGCCTTGAATTTTACGGTACGCAAGCAATTCGTTTTCGGTGATCGTCGGTATTTTTACTTGAAATGTAAGGGCTGATTTGCTAGAATTGAAGAAAAATATCGTGAGTATTCCTACATGTCCGGGAACTGACTAATAATATTTTGAAAACGTGTAAAGATTTCTGAAGACCGCACTCACTAGATCAGCGCGGCGAACTTTGGTTCCATAATTCTCTCAAAAATGAGAGGAGACATATGCAAAGCAGTGAAACTAGTATATAGACTGTTAACTTATTTCTGTGTTTTTATTAGAAGTAACCAAAGAACCTTTTTACTTGTAACGAGACATTAAATAGAAGTCAGCAGGGTTGACACCGCATCCGCATTTTAAATCTTAACCGACGATAGATGTTCGTGTTTATGGGTCATTTATCATTAGCTCATTTATCAACTTTCGTCTCATAGATGTCGTAAGAGGCGACAGAAGGATACAAATCCGGAAATGGGCGGCAGTGTTTTCCTAATAACGACTAAAAATAAAAAAGTTAAGCTGCGGTGGCAAACCCGTTTGCTAAGCGTAGCATCTACGACAAAAATGTTCCTCAATGAGGCAATCTGTTGGGGAGGCCTATTTTCTGCAGTGGAATTTAATAACGCTGTAACGGTAATGGTTCCGACAGATGGCGGTATATCACCTGGCTATACTTTTAATCTGTGAGAACGCAGTTATTATAAATACAATTTGCCTTTGCATGTGGCACACCCACAGAAGCCTCTTTAATTTAAATAAAACTAAAAATATATTGGGATAATAATCACTAGTAGAATCACACGCAATATTCTTTTTAAAATATAATCTCATATTGAAGATTTGTTTTTTTAAACATTTTTTATTGAAATATATAGGTAGTTCATCATGCGCTTAAAATATCCCACTTACAACCGCTTTTTAACATCACTCTGTACCATTATTTATTTTTATAATATACTTAGAACGAAAACATTGTTTTTATAATTATGAATATTTTTGATTAAAAAGTTTAAGGCAATCATAAGTAGCCGCCTTCAAAATAATAACTAACATACCTGATCAAAATTGTAATTGAAAGTTTCTGCACAGTTTCTTCTATTGTCAAGTTTTTCACACTAAAGCACAGCAAAATTAAGACTAAGAACGTCTTTCACATGCACTTAATTCAAAATAACTTTGAAAAAACTTTTTTTATAGTTTATAACGATCAAAAGCACGTACGAGAATTTCAGAGAGTGACTGACGTCAACCCTCCATACGCGATGGCGGTTTTCAGACCACTGAAGTTTTCAAACAGGTACAACACATCCCGCGCACAGGCGCAGAAGTTGGAAATCTGTGAATTAGTAACTGTTGCGAACTCTAACGTTCCAGGTAAGTACCTGAAAAGAAAAGAGAACAGCTTAATTAGCATCTTTTTCTGTTATTTTAATAATGCTTTTAGTTCGAATTGTAAGTAATTACCTACATTATATTTTAAAGCGGAAAATAAGCATACTTTTCATTCATAAATTATGAAGTAATATTTTAAAATTAAATTTTTTTTGTTTGATAAATATTGTAAAAAGTTTTTGCACACTATTTTAATTTTTATGCGGATTATAGCTAATCAAACTTCGTAATTTGTCGTATTACTGATGTAGCGTGGTCGCAGATGCACCTCGCTGGAAATGGAGATCCTTTTTACCGGTAACGGCATCGGGAATTAAAATTGGAATTTTGCATATTTACATTAATCTATTATATTACTCTTTATAAATATAGATAGATGTGTCGAAGAGCGACAGCATACATCCATTAAGTGGAGTGTGTTCAATTTTCACTTGTATTCGAAAGACGTAGTAGCTCATAAGCGAAGCACTCTGCAAATTTTACAGTCCGTGAGCAACTTAACTTTGATCTCCGCCGGCACCAATGAGATTATTAATTGCAATAATAAGTGATAATTTACCATGCGCGCGGCGATGAAGGAAAACATCGTGATATTAAGCTAGAGAAGTGCGGTGGATTAATCTCTCCTTTTAGAAATGAGAAGTAACCAAGAGAGCTGTAACTTTACTACCGTTGCAGCTTATCAAAATTCCACCGCTGAACAAAGGAATTTTACATTGATTGCCTCATAGGAGGGGATATTTACCACAGTTGCAACACTTGACAAGCGGGATGGTAAAACAGTTTTTTTCTTCTAGTTATTATTAGAAATACGCTGCTGCCCAGTTTGTTACTCTCTATCGCCTCTTACGAAACCCATTGGACGATATTTGGTAATGGATAATTACGTTATCACTCACGGAAAATAATTTTAATATTTATGAAGAGGGTTCTATAAAAAAACTATTAAATTTAATGAAACTAAAAAGGAATAGACATTACTTGCCCTAAATGTTTGCATATAATTATCATTGAAAGAACCATTTCGTAGTTTTATAGGAGTTTTGTCTTTTTCCTTGCTTATAGCATGAAGCAAACAGAATTTCTTGGAGTATAAAAAACTTATTGTGTTTATCCTGTACCTGAGTTTCTAAATCGTTTTTTTAATTCTTTAGAACATTTTTTTAATAAGATATAGGTAAAAACGGGCACACAGTCCACCTGATGGTAAGTGGATACTGTGGCTTGTAGAAATCTACATTAATCCTCGATTAAGGTCAAAATGCAGAGTGCGTAGTCACCCCTGAAAACTAAAATGGAATGCCCCGTTTCCAGTAATAAAGGGTTTCCGGTTCTCTACACTCACCATACGAAACACAGCAGCATTAAACTGCTATTTTACGCCGGTATTCTTAGAGAGCGTGGTCCTTACCCGGTTGAGCCGACCCATTCGTGTTACAACCATAGTACGCAGCGTGGATCTACCACGTTCAGTGGAAGATTCACACCCGCGATCCTCAGCACTGCAACTCATTGCTAAGCCTACTGCTACATGAAACGTCAACAGAAAATGTCTTATAATAGTATTTTAAAATCATCGTGTGAGGTAGGATTGATAAGTTTTAAAATACATGTATGTGTACATATATGTGTAATAATAATGTGGCACTTATTTTCATCACCATGATCATCATCATCATTACAGTCTTCACCGAATACCACAAAACATGGTCCAGAGTCACATACAACCATCGACTATCTGCACATATACCTGCTTGTATCTCCACCCAGTGCGAGGGCCACCTGCTCTCTGCTTACACATACACGAGACTGCCACTAGTAATAATTTTCCTATTTGATTTTTATCATTGTTTTTAACATTTTACCTATGATTTTTTAAATTGGTGACGTAAATAAGTATCGCTGATATGAATATAAAAATACTCTACTTCATTATTTTCCTGTTTCTACTCCTGTCTCTATTGGAATATAATCACTAATAAAAAAGTTGTATATTGAAGAAGTGTTATACGAAACAATATGTTAAACTTCAGAAAAAATACTAAAAAAGTTGAACTTTCCAATTAAACATAAATAATATGCCTGCAGCGTGGCTCTACCACGTATAACCTGCGTGTCTAAGGAACAAAAATATGCACGAGAGAAGC